GAGCCATCAGCCCAGAGCCCGACGCGGGGCTCGAACTCAGGGACCGCGAGATCGTGACCTGGCTGAAGTCGGACGCTCAACCGACTGCGCCACCCAGGCGCCCCAAAAAAAGTTTTTTTTTAAAAACCGACTAGAACAAAATAAATTTACGGTAGTTATTTCAATAACGGCAACAGAAATACACACTCTGGACATCTTTCCACATGGTGAAATACTCTTCAACAACATCTTTCATGGCTACATAGGACATGTCGCTTATTATTAGATCACTTATTGTTAGATGTTTAGATCATTTCCAGTTTCTGCTCAGGGTTGGAACAAATGTTCCTACAGCTCACCCCTGGTGTACAGCCTTAATTATGTCTTCAGAAAAAACTCCCATAACTACACTCCCTTGGCCAAGAGTCTGATTATTTTCAAGGCTTTTGAGATATAGTGCCAACTAGACTTCCAAAAATGTTGCATCAGTTCACCCACACGTCAGGATAGGAGAGTTTCCTTGGCAAATTGAAACCAATGCTAATTATTTACCTTAAAAAAATTGTTCAGGGCACCTGGGTGGCTCAGTTGGCTGAGTGTCAGACTTTGGCTCAGGTCACGATCTCACAGTTGGGTTCGTGAGTTCAAGCCCCACCTCGGCTCGCTGTGTCAGCATAGAGGCCATTCCAGATCTTCTGTCTCCCTCTCTCTGCCCTTCCCTCTCTTGCACTCTCTCAAAAAAAAAAAAAATTGTTGTTCATTGGACAGACAAAAAATGGAACCTCATAGCTTTAATTCGCCATCAGTTACTAGGCTCAATTGCCTTATGACCATTAGATACTGTTTCTTCTGGGTTGATTGACTATTAGGTCATGTGCTTTGTTCTGTCTTCTATTAGGGCACTCCCCTTTTTCTTACTGATTACAGAGAGCTTCTTATTTATTATGATATTGACTCTTTTTCATGTGTGTTTTTAACTCTTTTCTGTTCCGTCATTTGCCTTTAAATTTTCTTATTCTAAGTTTTCTGACATGGGTATTTTTAATTAAATATATTAATTTTCTACTTCAGATTCTATCTTTAGTTTTGTTGTGTTTTTTTTGTAAGTCTTTCCCCCAAATTATGTAAATGTTCACCTGTATTTTCCCCCAGTGCTTCCCTAGCTTTATTTGGGGAATTTTTCCTAGTCTGAAGGATGAGATGGGACTCTCTTTTTCCTCCCAAAGAGTTAATCATTTCATTAATAAGTCCTCTTTTTCTTACTGATTTTAAATGGGACTTTAATTATATACCGAATTGAGTCTGTTTCTGGACTGTCTTCTGTTTTAATTGATATGTATGTTTCTGGGGCGCCTGAGTGGCTCAGTCGGATGAGCGTCTGGCTCTGGCTCAGGTCATGATCTCACAGTCTGTGGGTTCGAGCCCCGCATTAGGCTCTGTGCCGACAGCTCGGAGCCTGGAGCCAGCTTGGGATTCTGTGTCTCCTTCTCTCTCTGCCCCTCCCCCGCTCATGGTCTGTCTCTGCCTCTCTCTCTCTTTCTCTCAAAAACAAATAAACATTAAAAAAATTAAAAAATTGATATGTATGCTTTTGCCAGCACTTATGTGAATTATTGTAATTATTGTATATGTCATTTCTAGTATTATGGAAACTCTTCATTTCTTTCTTTTCTTTGTTTCAACATTAGTGTGGTTGTACTTGCCTGTGCATTCCTCCAGAATTAGGGCAGTTCTGCTTCTTTTCCCTTTTCTTATAATATTAAGAGTATTAATGCTTTTTCTTAAACTCAGTCAAGGTTATGACCAGAAGATGTGGTTGGAAAAGAGAGGGAAGTTTAAAGAGACACTTACCAGTCCAGATGAGACATTATAGATTTTTTGCTCTAATCATTTCACAAATAACCAGACCTCGAACTCTTCCAGAATGTTCCAGAGCCCTGCCACTTATGGCATTAAATGAAAACCTTCTGCGTAAAAGGGAGCCATAGAGAAAATAAAATGACGTATGGGTAGAAGTAAAAGAAAGAAAACAGGACCTGAAATTGAGAGGAACATAAAGGCACGTTGACATCAAAATGCTGGATGTAACCAAAAACATTATCCATGGTTTCCATTTGTTCCTCTTCATTCATTTTTCATTTCTGGAAAAGGAAAAAAAAGTCTAGAAGTTTCTAAGCAGCTACTGAAAATTTTTCATATTATCTCCAGATCTAATTCATGAAGTATTGAACTTGCATTTCGGACAGTTACAGAAGAACAGAATCTTTGAGTTAATCTGCCCAATGCAGGAATCACCCTGCAGCACTTCTAGGAGGAGTGGCTGTTCAGCCTCCGCTTGGCTACTGCCTGACGAGGTCCTGACTCACTGCCTCATTGAGCTCTTTCCATGTTTAAAAAGCCTAATTCTTTGAAGGCTCTTGCTGTTATAAGCTCAAAGCCTGTCTCCCGGTATTCCCTCTTCCTTCACCTCGGTTCTGCCTTTTCAAGCCAACAGAGGCCTTGCTGCTTTGAAGGTGCCTCTTCTCCTTCAGTTTTATCTTTCACGGCCTTGTCATTCCTGATTCCTCAAACTAGTCCTTTTAGGACATGGTTCTAGATCTCTCAACATCTTGGTCTCTCCTCTGGAAATGTTGTAAAACAGCCAGCATTTCTTTTACAGGTAAAACACAGGAGTTAACATAAATCTCCAGATTCCATCTGGCCTGTGCAGCAAATTGGGAGCAGCTCATTCCTGACTTGACCTTTTTCTTTTTTCTTTTCTTTTCTTTTCTTTTCTTTTCTTTTCTTTTTTTTTAAATTAATGCACCTAAGTTACATTCAGGCCTGAGATCACAGACTCAGGTTGGAGCTATTTGGCCTTGTCATCATGAAAATAGCTTAGGCCCTTTGCACATAAGCAAGTGAGCAAATCTCACAGGCAAAGCTGACCCCCTAACAGACTTTGGTGAAATTTGGGAGAGCCAAGAGAAAGGAAAGGCATTGCCATGGAAAAACGGAAGAGTCCAGGTGGTGGAATTGTGGGTTCTGTGCCCAGGGAAGATGGGTGCCGTCTGGCCCATGAAGAAGCCCCTGGATGAGTCCCTGTTCTGGGCACAGGCCTGTGTGCTGGCAGAGGAGCACTGCATGACTGAGCTTTTGCACTTTTCAGTCTTGCTCCCTGCTGCTCAGGATTGGTTGGGAGCAGGGCGGGCTTACCTTTCCATCTTGTCCACGGCAGTGCGAGTGCTGGCCTGACCATGCAAAATGGAGATTAATACTCAGGACCCCAGTTACCGAGGGCTTCAGTCAGACCTCCCAGCAGCTTCTCTCTAACGCAAGGAGCACCTAACTCCAGGGATGCCCCTCCTCCCGCTGGCCTTTCCGTCCCCAAGAAGACAAGGCCATCAGTGCCCCAGGAGGGCTGGCAGGCGTGGGCAGGAGGGTGCGGTGACTCCACAATTGAGCTGTGACCCTGGGGTATGCCACATCTGGGGGGACGGGGGCAGATCAAGGAACTGGGGGCTAATCTAGCTGCGCAGATTGGCCCTCTGTTGTTGCCTCCAGATCGGAAAAATCAGGCATATTCACAGATGGGCCCTGCCTGAAATCCAGGAGCGGTCTAATTACAGAGCTACGGCTCTCGGTTTTCTCTGTTACCCTAAATCCTGGCATAAACCATAGTGAGTAAGTCAGGAACTAAATAAACACTAGCTTTCAAGGGAGGGAGGCGGCGGTGGAGGACGAGGAGGGTGGGGGAGGGTGGAAGCTCACCGAGCTTCTATTGGTAGAGGAGGATCACGTGATCTGAAGTGCACTAGGCTCTTTCTGAGCACACAGAAGTTTCTTCCACTCGCTCATTGTCGGTGGGACCGGCCTCCCTTACCTTTTTGGGGCTTTGTTTCCTATTAATCTGCCTCTTATCATGTCAAATCCATTTGGGAGTAGGTTACATATATCGTCTTACACTACTATTCTTCCTGGCCAATTAAGTCACCGAGGAAATACAAAGCAGCCTGGTTTGTCTTCACTTTTGCCACCCGATGAGGCACCCTATGAGGCCCTGGGCTCACCCTATATTATTCGGAGGTGTTGATGTACAGGTGCTTTCTGTCTCTTTGGTTCAGCCAGCTGGAAAGTACGTCTCCCTTTGCAAAGTGGAGCCCAGGGCCAGTGGTTATAAAATAGAGGGGAGTAGAAAAGCTGACAGCATCCCACGTGCGCCCTCTGCCCCAGGCTCGGCCATGAGCCCCAGGCCCCTTGGACGTGAAGAGAATGACTGGGGACAAAGAGACGCCCTCTTGGGCTCCCCAGTCCGTGCACCCTTCCTCCCCACCTGGGAACTCTAAGCCCTGGGCGGAGGCATACCACACATGGCCGCCTCCCTGACCCACTGAGCTTCCTGTAAGGTTTGGGGCGTTTGCTGAACTGT